GGAGAACCCAGAAAATGGGAAAAAAGGGAAAAACAGGAAAAATCTGGAAAACTTGGAAAAAGTCTGGGAAAAACATGGAAAACCTGGGGAAAACTTGGGAAAAAATGTGGGAATAACCTGGAAAAACCTGGGAAAAACCGGGAAAAATCTGGGAAAAACCTGGGAAAAGCTGGAAAAACCTGGGAAAAAGTGGGAAAGATCTGGGAGAAATCTGGGAAAGACCTGGGAAAAAAGGAAAAAAAACTGGGAAAAATCTGGGAATAACCTGGGAAAAAAGGAAAAAAAAATTGGGAAAAATCTGGGAATAACCTGGGAGAAAAGGGGAAAAACTGGGAAATATCTGGGAGAAATCTGGAAAAAACTTGGAAAAAGTGGAAAAATCTGGGAATAATCTGGGAAAACCTGGGGAAAAATGGGAAAAAATTGGGAAAAACTGGGAAAAATCTCAGAAAAAGTGGAAAAATCTGGGAATAATCTGGGAAAACCTGGGGAAAAATGGGAAAAAATTGGGAAAAACTGGGAAAAATCTCAGAAAAAGTGGAAAAATCTGGGAAAAATCTGGAAAAACCTGGAAAAAAGGCAAAAAACTGGGAAAAATCTGGGAAAAATCTGGGAAAAAACTTGGAAAAAACTGGGAAAAAATTGGGAAAATCTGGGAATAATCTGGAAAAAAGGGAAAAAACTGGGAAAAACCTGGGAGAAATCTGGAAAAACCTGGGAAAAAGTGGAAAAATCTGGGAATAACCTGGGAAAACCTGGGAAAAAAGGGAAAAACTGGGAAAAATCTGGGGAAAAAGGGAAAAACTGGGAAAAATCTGGAAAGAAACTTGGAAAAAACTGGGAAAAAATTGGGAAAAAATTGGGAAAAACCTGGGAAAAACTGGGAATAATCTGGGAATAACCTGGGAAAACCTGGGAAAAAATGGGAAAAAGTTGGGAAAAACTGGAAAAATCTGGGAATAACCTGGGAAAAAAGGGAAAAAACTGGGAATAACCTGGGAGAAACCTGGGAAAAAAGAGGAAAAACTGGGAAAACCTGGGAATAACCTGGGAAAAAAGGGAAAAAACTGGGAAAAACCTGGGAGAAATCTGGAAAAGCCTGGGAAAAAGGCAAAAAAATGGGAAAAACTGGGAAAAATCTGGGAAAAAACTGGGAAAAACTGGGAAAAAATTGGGAAAACTGGGAATAATCTGGGAAAAAAGGGAAAAAACTGGGAAAAACCTGGGAGAAATCTGGAAAAACCTGGGAAAAAGTGGAAAAATCTGGGAATAACCTGGGAAAACCTGGGAAAAAAGGGAAAAACTGGGAAAAATCTGGGGAAAAAGGGAAAAACTGGGAAAAATCTGGAAAGAAACTTGGAAAAAATTGGGAAAAAATTGGGAAAAACCTGGGAAAAACTGGGAATAATCTGGGAATAACCTGGGAAAACCTGGGAAAAAATGGGAAAAAGTTGGGAAAAACTGGAAAAATCTGGGAATAACCTGGGAAAAAAGGGAAAAAACTGGGAATAACCTGGGAGAAACCTGGGAAAAAAGAGGAAAAACTGGGAAAACCTGGGAATAACCTGGGAAAAAAGGGAAAAAACTGGGAAAAACCTGGGAGAAATCTCGAAAAACCTGGGAAAAAGGCAAAAAAACTAGGAAAAACTGGGAAAAAACTGGGAAAAACTGGGAAAAACTGGGAAAAAATTGGGAAAAACCTGGGGAAAACTGGGAAAAAATTGGGAAAAACCTGGGAAAAACTGGGAAAACCTGGGAAAAAATTGGGAAAAACCTGGGAAAACCTGGGAAAATCTGGGAATAACCGGGGGAAAAAAGAGGAAAAAAGGGAAAATCCCGGGAAAAACTTGGGAAAATCTGGGAAAATCTGGGAAATGGGGTTTGGAATCGCCAGGGCCGGAGCAGAATTCCCGGGGGGATGGAATTGGAGGCAGGAGCGGATAAACGGGAGGGAAAGGGTTAAAAGGAGCCGAAATTCCCGGAGAAATTTCGGGAGGGAGGAGCGGGAATGGCAGAATTCCCGGATTTCGTGTTCCCCGAGCCCGGATTCCCGCGGCTCCGGCCGCCCCCGCTCCATCTGCTCCCGCTGCAAAATTCCCGGGAAATCCCAAAATAACCGGGAAATCAAACAAGAAAATGGAAAATAAAACGGATTTCGGGAAAATTCCCCCCAAAATCCCAGGAATTCCCAGGAAAATCCCCAAAAAAACCCCCAGGAAATGCCCAATTCCCAGAAAAATTCTCAGAAAAATTCCCAAAAAATCGGATTTTCCCAGTATTTCTCTGGATTTTGCCAGGATTTTCCGGGATTCTCCTGGATTTTTCCAGGATTTTCCAGGAATTTTTCTGGGATTTTCCCCAGGCTTTTTTTTTCCAGGATTTTCCTGGGATTTTTCCAGGATTTTCCCGGATTTCCCCAGGATTTTCCCGAGATTACCCGGATTTTCCCGGGATTTTCCCGGGATTTTTCCAGGATTTCCTGGGATTTCCCGTGATTTTCTGGGATTTTCCTGGATTTCCCCATGGTTTTCCAGGATTTTCCTGTGATTTTCCCCCAATTTTCCCAGGATTTTTCTGGGATTTTCCCAGGATTTTCCATGATTTTCTGGGATTTTTCTGCATTTTTTCCTGGGACTTTCCCAGGATTTCCTGGCATTTTTCCATGATTTCCCAGGATTTCTGGGATTTCCCTGGATTTCCGAGGATTTCCCAGGATTTTTCTGGGATTTTCCCAGGATTTTCCATGATTTTCTGGGATTTTTCTGCATTTTTTCCTGGGACTTTCCCAGGATTTCCTGGCATTTTTCCATGATTTCCCAGGATTTCTGGGATTTCCCGGGATTTCCCTGGATTTCCAAGGATTTCCCAGGATTTTTCCGGGATTTTCCCGGGATTTTCCATGATTTTCTGGGATTTTTTCTGAGATTTTCCGGGATTTTCCAGGATTTTCTGGGATTTTCCCAGGATTTTTCCGGGATTTTCCATTATTTTCTGTGATTTTTCTGAGATTTTCCGGGATTTTCCAGGATTTTCTGGGATTTTCCCAGGATTTTTCCGGGATTTTCCCGGGATTTTCCATGATTTTCTGGGATTTTTTCTGAGATTTTCCGGGATTTTCCAGGATTTTCTGGGATTTTCCCAGTATTTCCCTGGATTTCCCCAGGATTTTCCTGGGATTTTCCTGGGATTTTCCAAGATTTCCCCATGATTTTTCTGGGATTTTCCCGGGATTCTTCTGGGATTTTTCCGGGATTTTCCATGATTTCCCCATGATTTTTCCGGGATTTTTCCGGGATTTTCCCGGGATTTTCCTGGGATTTTCCAGGATTTTTCTGGGATTTTCCCGGGATTTTCCAGGATTTTCTGGGATTTTTCTGGGATTTTCCGTGATTTTCCGGGATTTTCCCAGGATTTTTCCGGGATTTTCCATGATGTTTCTGGGATTTTCCCGGGATTTTCCCGCTATTTCCCTGGATTTCCCCATGATTTTCCCAGGATTTTTCCGGGATTTCCCCATGATTTTCCTGGGATTTCCTGGGATTTCCCTGGATTTTCCTGGATTTCCCGGGATTTCCCAGGATTTCCCGGGATTTCCCAGGATTTCCCGGGATTTCCCTGGATTTCCCTGGATTTCCCTGGATTTCCCGGGATTTCCCGGGATTTCCCAGGATTTCCCAGGATTTCCCGGGATTTCCCGGGATTTCCCTGGATTTCCCTGGAT